GGCGGATCATCACTCTCGGGCTGGGATGGACGCGAGGCGGGCGGGCCCTGGCGAGCAGAGCCAGGAGTCCAGGCCTCCTCCTGGCTGCTGAGCCTCCCTTGAAGCCTCCCTCCACCCCCGTCTTTCATCCTAGGAGCCGCGCCGACCTCTGCTTCGAGGGTTAGGCACGGGTCCCGTCCTGCTCTGACACCCGTACCTCCCCCTCCCGCCTGCCCTCGGGATCGACTAGATCCCTCCCCCTCTCTGAGGATTCCAGCTGGATCCCTGCCCCTGCACCGCGGATCCTGCTCTCCGGGGCCCCGAGACCCTGGGGATTGCCGTGGACTCCTCCTTCAGCTCCCGATCCTTTAGGATCGTCCGCCCGGACCGCTTTCTGGTCCCTCGAAGACAGCCCACGGAGCTAGTGGATCTCCAGTCCAGTCTTGTCCCATCATCCCCTTCTTGCTCTGCCGTCCTCTCGGCGGGGTTCCCAGTTCTCAGGCTCCCCCGGACCCCATCCCCTAGCTCTCCTCTTCCCAGGGATCGACTGGATCCCGGCCCCGCCCCCCCGGGGCTGGGGCGATCCCCCTCCCCCGCCGGGTGAGGCGCTGCGGGGCGGGGGCTGGGCCTGCGGGGCCGCTGGGGCTCAGAGGCCGCCGCCCCCCTCCCGAAGCCCGTCGGCCCCCCACTCGGAGCCCTGGATGGAGGCACCACGGCCCCAGGGCTGAGCCAGGTAGGAGCTAAGCCAGGCTGGGTGGAGGGGGCTGCGTGGCGGTCCGCTGGGGTCTCCCTCTCCCCATCTTCCTCCCTGCGCCTGGTTTCCCCAGCCTGCTCTGTCTGCGTGTCTCCGCCTAGGGATGCTCTCGCCGTGTCTCTGCGTCTTGGTCTCTTTGTCTCTGCCTCTCTCCAGTCCATGAATGATCCTTTGAATGGGCCCACAGACCCCGTGTGTTCCCATCTCCCCCTCCCCCTCCTTCTCCCCTTCCCGGCCAAGCCATTTTCCCTACTGCGGGAAGGGGGGGGGCTGCGGCCTGAGCCCCCGTCCCTCAACTCTACCGGCTGAGGGAGTCAGGCCTGGGCTGGAATGGAGACAGCAAGGCAAAAAGATGGAGAGAAGGACGGGGAGCAAGATGTGGCAGACCGAGATGAGAAAATGGGGGAGATAGATAAAGATGGGAGAGAGAGAGAAAGAGAGAGCGCTTGAGGGAGAAAATTGGGGAAGGTATTTGGAGGAGACAGATGAGAAATACCAAGGAGAGAGATGTAAAAGAGAGGAATGAAAAAAGACAGAGGGGTGAGAGACTGAAAGCAAGAGCTAGAGCAAGCTGGAAGAGGCCAAGGAAAACTGCTCCAAGGGAGCACTATGGAGGGGAGAGAGATGAGGGTGCTCCAGTGGGAGGGAAGAAGAGAGAAGCTGCTTAGAGGGAAGGAGGCTAGGGGCCCAGGTACCCTAAAGAAGAGGGGGTGACTGAGGCAGACCATTCTGGGGGAGGGGGAGGAGGCAGCAAAGCCACGGTTGCTGAGCCTAGCCTGGCATAGGATGTGATCCTGGGGGAGCCAAGTCTAAGCCCCCTCCAGGTGAGAGGGAACAGGAGCTTAAGAGGATCTGAAGAGGGGGAGGGTGCCAGGGAGTGAGTGGTAAGGATTCCTGTGTCCTCATCTCTGGAATAAATTGACACCTGCAGAGAGCCACCCGTGGGCTGGCGCCTGGCTCTGAAAACCCCGCGTCAGCAAACAGCTCAGGCTGCTGGTAGGGGGGTGGAGGGGCTTGCCGAAATGACCTGGGTGCCTGCCCCTTTGGTCTGATCCCTTGTCCTGCCTCATCTGTTCTGAGCACCCAGGCATCACAGCAGCAATGGTAGGGGGCTGGCAAGGGGAAGGGGAGCTGAAGAGATGGGATGGGACGAGATGGTATGAGAGCTGAGGTTTGCCTCCAGGACATACGTGCAAAATGCCCTACAAAAAAGAGGTGTCTGGAGTACAAGGCTGCTCAAGACTGTGGGAGGGGGCTCATTTGGTACCTCCTAAAGCCACCTCAGCACCCCTTCTCCTCAGCCAGAGGCCTGGTCACTAGAGATAGGCTCTGATTGGCTAACAAGGGGGCAAGAGGTGGATCTTTTAGGGTTCTCCATGACCCTAGATTCCCCTTCTCAAAATATATTCTTCCTTTATTATATGCTTGGGGAAAACTAGCATTCTGACTCATACCTGTGTCCTCCCCCTCGGCCCCTCAGTGGACCCTTCAAGCAAACCAGCCCCTTCCCCTCTTTTTCCAATCCCCCCCTCCAGGGTTAAAGCTGCAGCCCGTTGCCGAGGTAACATTGTGGGGCAGCATCCCGTCGCCCAGCAACCGGCTGCAGGATCATGCATCTGTCCCTGAATTTGCCCCTCCAGTGTCCTCTCCCTATTCTAACCCTATCTCTAGGCACCCCAACTTCTGAGAGAAGAAATGGCAGTGCCTGGGGAGAAAGGGGACCTGGGGCCACATAAATCCTTAGGGAATGGTATCTTGAAGGAAAAAGAAGGTGCTGGGCTTGTACAGTCCCAAGAAAGGCCCTAATCTGGCCTGGGGTGGGGGTTCAGTGCCATGAAATTAACAGCTCAGGAGTAATTAACACGTATAAACAAACCCGCCACTTCCTGCTAATTAATGACTTGGTATTTTTATTTTCTCTTCCTTGTCTATCTCATTCCCTCCCTCCCAGGGAGGTGGGCATTGAGACTCCTGAGTCCCTCGGGAGAGCCTGCCTGGGAGGGATGAAGAGGCTGGAAATGTACTTGCTGGGTCCAGAGAACTGACCCTCCCTTGTCTCCAACTTTATCCTGGACTTTTACATCTGCCCCTCCCCCAGCCTGGGTCCCTACTGAGGGGAGGTGGGATGCTGGGGTGAAGAAGAAGGTACCAGGAGGCTTGTGGGTGGAAGAAGGGGGGCAACTTGGTCTGAAATCCAAGTCACTAACCACTTGTCTCTTCTGTTTCCCCACTCCTTTCTGTCTACCCCATCCAACATCCCTTCCCTTCTTTCACCTCTCCTCTATATTTTTGTTTGTCTGTATCTTGCACCCTGTCCCTTCTGCTCTGCCTCCTGCAGGTCGGACCTGCCTTCACCTACTCCTGCCTCCTTCCCCTTCCCCTCCCCTTGCCCCCCCATGGAGAGGAACAGACTCCTCTGTCCGTTGTAACCCAGGTCCCTCCCCACGTCCCTCCTCCCTCCTTTCCCCTGCCCCCTCCTGCCCCTTGGGGCGAGGGGGCCTCCCTCCCTCTCCCCCCCTTCTCTCTCTCCGCCGGG